ATATAAAAAAAAAATATACCAAATAAAAGGTAATGATATCATGTATCTACAAAAAAAAAATTATATTGATATGTTCATTTTTAAAAATGTTATAGCAATTTTAAGTAAAAAAAATTGAAAAAATTTCGAGAATTAGCGATTTTTAAATTTGTAATTTTTTTGGAGGTTTCCCCATTTATGGGGAACGAAGGAATTTTTTCAATTTTTGAGCGTAATGTCTTCGATTAGATACGATTTGTGATCTTTTGACGTATCGTTGAAAGAAATCGGTTCGGCGAGAGCTGAGAAAAAGTGGTAATAGACACAAAAAAAAAAAACACATAGTAAAATTCTCAGCTTCACATCGAAGCTAAAATATAAAGAGCAACAATATCTAGGCTATATATTCCTTATATTAGTCTAATATTTANTTACAAATTAATAAAAAATTACAAAATGAAAAAAAAAAATTTGTCCCGACGATCTATCTTCTATACGCAAATGGCTACCATATTGAAAAATATACTATTTTTGTATGATAATTATGGGTTTTGTATTTTATTTTAATAGAAGTTGATGTTGCTTTTGCAATTATCCATCAATTTTTTAAAATTAAACACTATCTACAGATTTGCATCGAAGCGTTTCTTATGATAGTGATTTTAATCACTGTCAGATTAAATCTATACTGNCAATAATATTATTTTTGATATTTTCTAATGTGATATATTTCTTGATTTATCATATATTAATTACTTTTTTAACTTATCTCTTATTCTTTATATGGGTTTCAACTTAATTTTTCTTAAATAGCAACACGCATTTAATTATTTAATAAAATAAAAAATAATCTAATTAAGAAAATGTCTGGTCGATAACAAATTTTTAACCTATATTTCGGAAATTATTAACAGTTTTATAACAAGACTGGAGGAGGGTTTCGGTTGAAAAAAATCTAATAATAAATATCGTCTTCCTCGCCTCACCTCCAGTCTATATTTTAAAATGGTTATTATTTTCAAAGTTGTCGGTTAAATTTTTTCTTGTCTTGCTAATTAAATATGTATGTTGCTATTTAAATATATTTCATTGAAACGCTTATAAAAATTAGGGATGAATTAAGAAAGTGACTTATAACTGATAATCAAAAAATACAATGTATACAATGTATACAATACTAAAATATATTATAAATATTTCTAAGATAATTATTATTTTAAGAGAAATCGAGTGGATAGCGTTTAAAGAATCATACTGTATGTATTTTAAAATTATTTTTACAATTAAATTAATGGCGTGACAGATAATTTAAACCGATTTAAATATAAAAACGGTAGCACAGTGGGGTCGAGGCACAGTGTAGACAAGGCATAGATGGGACAAGTATAGATGATATTTGACAGTGATTTAAATCACTATCATAAGAAACGCTTCGATGCAAATCTGTAGATAGTATTTCATTTTAAAAAAAAATTTGTTAAAATAGCATATTTTTGAATACGGTAGCCGTTTGCGTATAGAANTACTATGCCGCGACCCCACTGTGCTACCGTTTTTTTAACTATTACTATTTATATGGAATGAATTCATACATAGTAGCATATGTATGAATAGCATGTATTTATTTAGTTAACGACTTCTTAAAACTAAAATTTAAAAACAATATTGTGAATTGGTAGATCATCTATTTCAAGGCCAAAAGATACAAAGAAATTATTAATATTTCCTTTGAAATTAATTATTACGATAAAAAGATAATTAAAAACACAAAAAAATTGTTTTTAAATTATTACAGATTTAATGTGTTAAAAATAATCAGTGCAAAATATCATTTTTAACATATTTTTTGGTCTTTTAAAGTTTATTTTTTGAAAGTTTATAATAAAAAAAAGTTGAATTTGTTACCATAACTTTGGCACAACATCAAGTTTGAATTTACATTATTAAACAGAAAATTTTATGAGAATTAAAAAAATAGTATTGCTAAGTTTAATATGCAGTCAGGAGATTGTATAATTACTATTCACTGTAAATTTATCAGAAAATTTCAATATATTTTTTGCATTGTTATTGTAATAGAAATCATAGTAATTATTTTTAAGTAATTTTTGGTGTTTAAAAAGATTCTACAATTGAAATAATTTAGAACTTAATTAATTTTAATGATTTAGTTTAACTAAAAAAAAAATCAAAATGCTGTTAAAAATATTTACTCAATTGTGCGTATTATAAAATTTGTATATAATTGAAAAAAAATTTTGTTAAATTCAGATAAAATTAAAAATCATTTTTTTTTAGATTTATAATTTATATGGCTACAAAATTTAGAATATTATAGACTGTTAGTAACACACAAATAAAGTTAAAAAATTAATATATTACGAAATACAATTATTTAATTTTATAGTTGAAATCTATTATCATTGAAACCTAATTCGACAATATATACATTAAAACATTTAAAATGAATGATATTAATTGCCTATAATAGTTGTAATTATTTAATGTATCATTAAATACGTTGGTCAAGTGAGAGCTGAGAAAATAAATGAGAGCCATAAAAAAAATAACATAGTAACAAGTAAAAAAACTTTTATATGAGTAAAGAATTTCTTCAAACGAGGGGAGATTACAGTGATGGGGTCCTTGATATTCATTAAAATTATTGAATCTAAATGATATAAAAATTAAAGGAGTTACTGAAAAATGTTATTCTAATTATTGGTACAGCTGTTTTCTTTAAGATTTTTTGCTCGATTTTTAGTAAGTTTAATACAAAATAGTGAATAATGAACGATTGTTTCTACTTTTATAATAATATTATTATTATACTTAAGATTTCTAAAAAAAGCACATGGCTAAAATTTGTAAAATGAATTTTCAATTATTTTGAGATAATTGTTCAACTTATAACAATTTTTTGTATTAATTAGTTATTTATGGTAAACAATGTAAATATTTAAATTGATCTAAATTTTAATAATTGATTGTATTAAATGGTTTATAGATAAATTCAACTGTAGCCCGTAGCTCGTATTTAAGAAATAGAGAAAATGACCGTTTAGGAATCACTGTATTAGATATTAGATTCAAAGTTAACGATCAACACATTAATAATGAAGATACTGCCAATTTTAAATGCGTAGCCAAGCTGGCGTCAGTTTATCTACAGTCTGATGAACAAACAGTCAAATTTTTAAAGCGGTCACCAGCTGAATCAATGATCAGCAATAACAATTTAAACACAGGATTGTTGTCAAATCAAATTCAAGGTAATTTGATCAAAATTTTTAGTAAATGCATTTTTAATTTTATACAATTAATTCTGAAATGTATTTCCTAGATTTATGCATTTTTTACTTTAAAGTATATAATCAAGAAGTATGACACATTCAGTGACAATTATAGTATTCATATTTTTTGTTGCTTATGAGATGGTTGTTTAATCTGTCAAAGTATTCTGAAGTATTTGAGACACACGTAACTTTTAAAAAAATACTTCCTGGGGAAAATGAATTCTAATATTTAATGCTGTTCAAACATTGCATCTTATAAATAAAGATTATCTTTCTTTTAATTACTTAGATAAATCTGTTAAATTTATAAATATAAAACATGCAAAACATAAAACTTTGAACAACTACTTTATCTCATAATTTTAAAATAATATATCAATTAATATTGAATTTTTCACAAAATATAAACTGACTTTCTGTTACAGTAACTTCCAGTGGAAAACAACAAGCACATGATGCCGTTTTTATTATTTTTTATTGGCTGGTCTTCTTTTTCTTGAACTATTACAGAAAACCTTAGTTTTGTTAAAAATAATTTAATATAGTTTAAGATTAAATTATTTGTTAAATAATATTTATATAATTTAATGTAAAACTTATATTTAAATGAACAATATGTTATTTGCTAAAAAATAATACACCATAACTGTTGTTTTAGGAAGTTTTATAAGTATTTCTCATATTGTTATGTTACCATTATCAAATATTATAAGTATAACAATAAGCATTGATCTTATAAATAGTGATACAACCATGTAAAATTGGTGATATTACAGCCAAAGTGCACTTGATCCCGTAATAATAAGGAAATACTAACTAAAAAGTTGTCCTAGACGCTAGTGGAAGAAAAAGGTTTAACCACACTCGAGATATTATTAGATGATATTATAGTAAATCCTAAACAAAATAAAACTTCTGAAATCTTCTTACTTCTACTATACAACAATTTGATTTTTGACACGCGTCTCTTCTATTACAGATAGTACATGGAAATATAGTCTGTATTACTACTACCTATAACTTTCTTAGTTTATCACAACAAACAAGTTTTGGTTGAAACATTTTTGAGCGAATGAAAGCTATTGTATTAACAGTCATAATGTCTTGTATTTCTAAGATTTCGAAAGGCTTATACATTTATTAAATTTGAAAATAACATTGAAAACAAAATATCTTAGAAATCATAATAATTCTAATAATTTAACCAAAATAAGTAAAAAACAAAAATTACCGTGAATTATATGAAGAAAAATATTAAAGAGTTAAATGCCAAAAGTATCGTATGTACTTACTAAATTCTTAGAATAGAATTTCAAATCTAATGTGTATATTTTTAAAGTAATATGCAATATTTTCAACTCAAAAACCAAAAACGCCATAAATCTTTAAAAGAGGACTTATTCCTAAGTGTAGATGAGCATATTTAGCATATTTGGGGAAACTATATGCGTATTTGAATTATATTTGTATTAAAGAAAGAATAGAATGATACTTATGTTTTTATCATAAAATTACTTAAAATGGTTTATTTTTACTCATGGTAATATAAAATTGAAAAAAGAAATACATTAACTAGATTTTTAATTAAAATATTAAAATGGTTTATTTTTTTCTTACTATGGGTGTCAAAAGATTCTACTATATAGTTATTTATGGCTGATCTGGTAATGTAATAAAAAGTAAGATATTTAAATGTTATATGGGCTTATACAGTTAAAATAGAAATTTTCAATGAAAAAATATTTTATCTGGTTATATAATGCAAAATTATTCAAGTTAAAAATTATTTATACTTAAATATATAAGATGTTATTCTTTTATTGTATAAAACTAAAAACCAATTTAGTTAGGGATTATCTGTTGCATTTTGTCAATGTTAATTAAATTAATGTTTGTAGTGGTTAAAAGTAACGATGTATCGAAGCGATACTGCTCTCTTCCTATTTTATGTTGTTCATCCTCAGTGGCGTAAATTTTAAATTAAATAAAAAAAGTTTAAAATATCATTAAATAAATTTTTTTTGGAGTAACAAATATTTAGAGAATATTTAATCTTTCATAAGCTGTTTCTAGAATTTTCATTTAATGTAAACCATATAAAAAAAGCAGCTGAGTTAGCTAAATCCTCTTATTGACTATATAATGATGTAATATATTATTTATTATAATTAATTTATATTTAATAATGAGGGGTGGTTCTAGGATGTTGTCATGGGTAAGGTTAAAATATTTTTAGACGATAAGTAGGGGTTTATCCTCCCTTGCTGATAAAATTAGCCCCCGTTTTACTAGTTTGTAACACTTTCTTTGAATATTGCATTTAGAATTTTAGAAATTAAAAAAAATATATATATATTTTGTATTATATTATTTCTTATTGTTAAATTATTTATTTTGATAAATATAAAGGAAATATAGTGTTAAGATTGATAATAAAAGTATATTGTAATTTAATATAAGCATAGATGTCTTTGAATATGTAAGAGGGATATGGAGGAATCTAGCTATGTGTTTGATATAAATATTCCTAGTATTTATTTTAAGATAAATTTGAAGTTACATCTATGGTGCGAACACCCAAGGGTGCCTATTAAAGGTGGTTCAAGGAGCTATGCCAAAATAATAATATTGTAGCAAACATGATTATTTTTCTTAAGTTTTTTTTATATCATTTTCATTAAAACTCTATAGGAAGAGGCATAGTAAGTAGATATAAATGTTTCTTTTATTATAGTAATAAATCAGAAATATATCTAGAAATCTTCAAGTATAATAAGTATAAAATTATAACAATTATTTTTTATATTTTAAATATATATATCATTTTAAAATATTTATCATTTGCAACAATTCTCTAAAGTTAGTTAAAACAGCAATTATATATATTTATATTTTTTAATAGTTCTTTTTAAATGAAATATGTTAGTTATTGTACAAATAACACTATAAATGGCTATACAGGGTGATTTTTTTATCATAACCCACTCAATTACTTACAGAATAATAATAATTTAAACCTTTTTTTGTTTTATTATCTNATACAAATATATTATATAGTTAAAGATCTTCTAAAGACAATGTCGTACATAAAAAAAAATGTATTCTATTGACATTATCAATTCTATTTGTAATCAACTATTTACATCAATATTTTATGATGAATTTTATTATTGAGGATAGATACTATTTATACTGAATGGTTTTATCAATTTATCTATTAAACCTAACATTAACCAATAATTTTTGAAAAGTATTTATTTACTAAAAAAAAATAAAATAAAAACACTATTAATTTATTTGGGCAATAAATACTTGAAAAAACAAAAAGGTATAAAACATGCATTGCGAAGTTAGCTATAACTAAATTAAAGTAGTTTAATTCTTCAATAGGCAGACATTAATTGAGAATAATATATTTGTTGGTTTATCAAATTTTGCAATTAATTCAAAATTTAAATAGCATATTCTTGAATTTATTAGTACCTAGATATTTACACAGAAATACAGATAAAAAATTTATAATACAATTCTTATTTTCAAAAAATTATTATAATTAACATATATTAAAATAAAATACATTTATACAAATTATGTTTATTTATTGCATTGGTAGAAATATCAATAAGAATTTTTTATACTACAAATTATTTGTAAAATTTAAACAGATTAATACAATATTTTAATTAAAAATATATTGTATTATATTCTATAATAATTTATTCATTGAAGCGTTTAAAATCATTTTAATAAAATACTTAAGATTTATTACTTTATTTTGATTTTTAATATATATTCAAGTTATACCAATACAAATTAAATTAAAATAATTCAGTCAAACTATTAAAAAAGATATAAGTATAAAAAAGAGCTTTCAGGAAAAAAAAATCAATTTTTAGGTACCATTATTATATATATATATATATATATATATATAAAATGCTATTAATTATCAATTAAAAATGTCTTTTATTATAATTACACAATAGTAGTGTAATCAACTTAACAATAAGATAGAAAAATCTTGGGTAAATATTGTTTCTATTTTTTTTAGTAAATTTAGAAAGACTGTTATTAAAGAGATAAATTTTATTGCAAAATATAATGGTCAAATGTGAAACATATTTATTTTTAATATACAATATCATAGTCAGAGTTTATTAAAATTTCAAGATAGTACACTGGGAAAAGAATTGACTTGTTATTAACTACCAGTCATTTAATATTTTTAAAATATCTTGAAAAAGCAAAAATTATTTAAAGTATCTTTCACAGTATTCAAATTTATACTATCTTTAGAAAATTGCCAATTTATTGCCTACTATAGAGTATATCATAATGTCCTGGTCTATAAAGTAGATGAACACAAACTGGAGAGCCTTCAGGGAAGTCATGGGCAATAGCTTCAGATGATTCACCTCTATCCATGTATCGAACTCTAACTCCAACATTTAATGCGGTACTAAGAGCAATGATGTGGATGTGATCACTTTCTTTGAACATTGGTTCTACTTCCTAGTAATAAAAATAATTTTTCAATATAATATAAAATGACTTTTTCACGTATCTTATCATAATCCTTCAACATATTATGTTCATAACTTCTCTATTTCATAATAAAAATTGATAATTTGTGGCTAATTAATTAAATAAAATTAATACTATTATCAATTTATAAAACTAAAAAATATTAAACTCAAAAGCCACAAAAAAATTACTGAAAAGTCGCGAAAACAATGTTACCATTATCAACTCTAAATACATACGTTAATGTAAATTTTATTTTTATTGTAAATCATACGTTTTAGCATTGATAATGGTAACATTGTTTTCAAAATACGTATTTTCAGTAATATTTTTGTGGCTTTTGAGTTTAATATTTTTTAGTTTTTTAAATTAATAATATTTTTAATATAGTTTTAATTTTATTCCCTATTTTATCTGTCCCTTCTATAGTTGACCTTGGGTTTCGTCTCACTCCTACTTTAAATTTTTGCCCTTATATTGAAGAAACATGTTGCAAGGCTTTCAAAACTTTAGGATTTATTTAGAGAATCACTCATGAATTTTATCTCTTAAAACCTCTAAAAAGTCTTTTTTGCTTGTTGGTTCACCCTATTCTCGAATATGGTTCGATGTTATGAAATCCTTACACAATTACAGACTCTCTTGATGTTTGAAAGAGTCCAGCATAAATTTTTGCGCTTTGTTGCTTTTATCCTTAATATTCCCCATTCACCTCATAACTTAAATACTATTCAAAATTTCTTGCAACTTCCTTCACTATCTGACAAAAGATACAATTCCAATATCTGTTTCCTTTCTATACTCACAACTGGTTTGATTAATTCCCTTGTCCTACTTTCAAAATTGAACATTTGGGTGCCTGCTTGTTCAACTCGTAATACAGCCCTTTTTCTCACTCCTATTTCCTCTTCTAGTTCTATATTTTATTCCGCTTTCTCATGTCTAATGTGCACTGCAAATAATAAATAACTATTTAAGATTTAAATTTTGTTCATGATTATATTTTGTACATTTCTTAATTAAAATATAATTTGTATTTATTATTTTTATTTATTTATTAATTTTTTGGTACTAAGTTTATTTTTGTTTAATTATGGTTATATATTTAAGTTTATATGGTAATTTTAAGTTGATAATTTAATGTCAAATACATACTATTTTTTTTGGGCTATTGCCCGTAACGTTAATAATAATAAAATAATCTCAAAACAAAAAATTTAAATTTAGCATACTTGATGACAAAATTCAACAACTGATCGATCACCTTCAATGAAATGCCTATAAAACTCAGCATCTTTTTGTAGTTGTCCAGATGTAATTAAACGAAGATAAACAACTACATAATCAGAATAACCTTGCATGTTAAATGTATCATAAAGTTTTTCATGTTGACCTTCACCAATCATGTTTACAACTTCCATAAACTAGAAATACAATAAAATCAATAACATATTAATAATTGGAGTTCAAAATATTTAATACATAGTCAATTAATAATTAGCAGGAATTTACAAGTTTTATATTTAAAAGAATAATAAGATTTTTTTTTATAAGGAATAAAATGATAATATGGAAAAGAAAAATTGATCTCATAAAAAGAAAATAATGTTGTAAAATATAGAAGTTGAAAAATTCAAGTATTTAAAAATAAATGTTACTGTATCATGGAAATCTTCAAGGGTGAACTGTGTAAAACCACAAGAAATAAGTTCATCTTTACTTTTCAAAGCTCTTTCTTTAAAATGTTTATATTCTTCTGTATGATCTATTAAATATTCAAAATATGCAAATGCAAAAGATCTAAAAAAACAATTTCCATCAGGTCTGGCACGTCGCATACATATATACTTTTTATTTAAATCTTGAACTTTTGTAAGATATACAGGATCATTAACATATTCTGATTCTAATGAAGTTAATTCTTCTTTTTGGCCAATTAGTAAAATTGAGTCCGAGATCTAAAATTGATAAAATAATAAATTACAATATAAGTTTTATAATTTGATTATTAATAATTCTACCTTTTAACTGATCATAAAATATAATTTAAAAACTGCATTAAATATTTTAAAAGTAAGTAAATTTTTCAGTAAATTGTATCATTGAAATAGATATTAAAATATAGTTTATTTAGCCTAATATTATTATTATTATTATTCTATTTTTATTTGATGTTCTCTCCTTAATGATATACTTGTAAAAATAGGATAGAAAACCCTATATACTCAGTATCGGACCTACATACCCAGGTAAGACACATTCTTGATTGAACTAAATATTGCTTATAATTACCTCTTTTTCAATTTCTCTATGTTGCTGAATAATTAATTCATCTTGCTCTAATCCTAAAAATATAAATAAATAATTAAAAAACTTATTGTGAATAATAAAAATTTAAGCAAAACAAAAATTAATGACGAATTTAAGTTTTTCTTTTTTTATTTAAGGTCTTTATTTTGAGATTATTGAGCAACAAATGGTAGAATTTAGTTTTTATAAACAGAACTAACTAAAAACTAAAATTAATCATCTATTAATAAAACAGCTCTACTTTTTAAATATTTTATTTATTTTTAAATTTTACCTTCTGTTCTAGTGATTTTTGAATCCTGGTTATTTTCCATTATGAATTATTTCCTAATGAAATAAACAAAATATTTTGTAAAAATTTAAATACAAAACTGTGTCACTAATTATAATAGAGTTTGGTATAAAAGGCATTTAGAAGCTAAACCTCTACTCAACAATTTTAATTCTTTTACTAATTATTTTTTTAAGAATATATAATATACTATACAATTATTTTTAATTTTAGAAAATTATTATTAACCCTCAATTTTTAAACTATGTTTATGCTAACCATATATTTGATTTAAGAAGAAATAAAAGAAGTTCTAAGTTGATTCTTCAACTTTTTTTTTCAAGCAAAATGGTAGCTTGTATTATTATTGGTTTTAATTCCATAATAATAATAATTCAATAATAACATTTGGAAATTGATCCTTTTAAAATAATTTTGAAAACAAATGGGAAATGTCTTATTGTATATATACATTTTTAATTTATTCAATCGTAATTTGATAAAATTGATTTAATAATATATATTAGGGTGGTCCTTATTTGATCAACTTTAAAAAATAGAATGGGAAAACTCCACATTTTGTTTGTAAATTTTGAGTATTTTAGGTCATCCTTTTTACGTGCCTCAAAGGGGAACATAATATAGAAATATAGTATTTTGCATGTATTTTTTAAATATTAAGATGTCAACAAAAAATTATAGAATCAATCTTGTAGGAAAACATATTAGCAAAATAAAAGGTCCTTGCATATATTTTTGTATCATTAAGTGTAAAATTAAAAATCTATTTTCATAAAAAACATATTTTTTTTAATTTTTATCAATATTTTATTAATATTGAGAATACAAAAAAAATTGCAAAACACCTAATATATTTAAAAAAAAAGGTAATTATAATTTATTTATATATTTTACAAACTTTATGAAAAATTCGTTAAACTTAATAGTAAACGTTAGCTTTCATGTTATATTACATTTTATTAAGTGTTGTTCAAAGTTATCTTTAATAATAAACAAAAATACTTACAATGATTTACCTATATTTTTCTATTAACGAAATATAATGAATGTAGTAATGAAAATTATTAATTAACAAATTAGCTAGTTTCTAAGTTTGAATTTTACTATTATTTACAAACTACAGATTGCATTCAATTTAAGTAAAAATATACATATTAAAACATAACTATGATAAGCATAATTTGCCTTATCATATTACATTTTAGTTCTTAATTATCTTCAGTGACGTCAATATTGCCATATTTTACAAAAGCAAACTAAATTATCAACAGTCTTTTAAAATATTTGAAGGATTACTAAAATATAAATTATCTAATTTCTTAGTAGAGTTTGAGTATATCAATAATTTCTTAAAAATATGAATTTTAATGGATAGCAATTGTAAATTATAGGGGAACATTTGATGAAAAATTTTCCGGTTAACATGTATAATACATTCATTATTACTTTATCATAATCTATGTATTTAATAAAAATATTTTTAGCGGCTTATGGCAATTTATGAAAGGAATAATTAAGGTCCCATGTGCAGTAAAGCATTAATAATTATTAAAAAATAATTATATTTCATTATTACTATTTTAAGTTTGTTTTCCTAGTTGAAGAAAAAATCGTTTTTCTGTAGATGAATTATTAGAAAATGAAAACAGTGACATTTACAGGATCCAAGGGGCCTGGTCCTTCAGACATTGATATTCTTATATTAAATAATATGTAGGATACAGCTGATAAGTATTTTAAATAAAATTTATTCTTTAGGACTAAAGGGGCGTATTTGAAACTCCTTTTGGGAGGGGCGACTTAATTTATCTTACTTTGGTAATCATTCTAGTTTTTTTTTGCTAAAAGAAGAATAAGGTTATTAAAAATTATATTTTGTAAATATCGGCTTTAAAAAATGTTGATAACGGTAGTTCAGGGAGACCCCTAAATTCACCCTTTTTAGGACCCCAAGTAAAATGTTGAAAACCCCCCACTGAATGAATCAATAAATTGCTATTTATTTTATAAGAATAAAATTTACAAGACATTTATGTCTTAATTTTATAATACTAATTAAAAATAAAAATGTAGGAAATTAAGAATAATATTTTCATAATTAAAAAGAGATTTTTGGATGAATATTTGAGTACTGAAAACTATAAATCATGTAACATGCTATCAGTGCTGTGTATTAACGGATTTGAAAAAAAAACTATTTGGGAGTCATTGCATTTGGTACACCCTCGGTTGGTAGCATTGGATATAGCAGCAGTATTCGTCGGGTTAGCTTAGCTATGTTCACGGCGACGGTAGGTTTCATGACAAATGGCAACTACGATCATTGTTATGCTTACACTTTTAATTATTCGCTGATACGTACGCCAACTAATGGCATTTTTTTTAGTTAAAAAATCATTTTCGAAGTATTAATATTAATATTTATTTTTTTTAATTTTCTAGTTTTTTTTACTTCTGTCTTTTATTATACGGTGTCCGTCATTCGAATTCTTTGTAGCGGTACAAAATGCGCGTAATCTTCCTTTTCATGCAAGAGGATTTACATCAATGATTGTACTGTATTTAGATTATTAAATTTTACATAATATATTATCTAACTATTCATTCATAGCATAAAGGGAAACTATAAGAAGATTTATACCAAGCTAAAGTTAACTAAGTGAGAATTAAAGTGCGATTCATTTTTAGTTCAGTTCATTTTTCTTTTTTGGATACAATTCTTATAAATACAGCAAACTTTGGTTTTACTTAATTATTAAATTGAATACATTTTATTTTCGTGGCTTATGACTAAAGTGAATTTTTGGTGATTCGTGATCATAAAATTTCTTACTGTAAATTTTCAAATGACTTCACAATGTCATTCCAATGAGGGGTCCAGTTGCACCATTTAATATTTCGCCATCTATAAATATGATGATGATGGATGACTGCTCTTATAACGGTGGTAAACAAAGTGGACAACAGCAACTTCACCAGCAACAACAACAAATGCAACAGCAAGGTGGTGGAGGTGGTTTTGGTCAAAAAGGGGAAGATGGACTAGGTGGACCTACTAATAAAGTCAAGTATACTATGCCAGGTGTCTTGCATTATATACAACATGAATGGTCTAATTTTGAATTAGAAAGATCTCATTGGGAAATAGATAGAGCTGAATTACAAGTGAGTAGTATGATAATTACGCTTGTCATAACTATACTGTACAAAATAATTATTATTGTATATAGTATGGCAATATGATTAATTTTTATAATTAACACATTTTTCATTATAATTATTTTATGGAAGTTATAAAGCTTTTATTCTAGTCTGTAAATTTAAGTAAAATAATTTTAAATATTTACAAGCTTTGTTCTGCATTATGTAAAATGTTTAAGCAATCAAATACACACACACACACACATACATATATATATATATATATATATTATTTAAAATTTTAAATAGTAGAATAAATATCCAAGTATAATTATTAATTAAATAAAAGATAGCCTTTTGCAGAATTTATTAAAGGTTTTTTTTCTAATTAGCATTAAAACAAGTTTTTAAATTTTTAACAATTAAAAGTAAAATTAATTGATTATTAGTATTTGATTGTTTAGTTGTGAATATCTAAAATTTACATTTATAATTTCAAATCAATATATAATTTAATAGGTTTGTTAAGGATTAGGCATTCTGTATTAATTAAGAAAATGTTCAGCTGTTTTATTTAGTATTAGATAAAATATCTGATTTACTTATTAATTTACCGATACTTATAAATTAGTAAATAAAATTATTAATATAAAATTTTGAAGTGTAATTAAAATTATAATAGCTGTTTTATTACCATGTGAATGATTATAATTTTTGTGTTATTTAGGCAAGAATAGCATTTTTACAAAGTGAAAGAAAAGGCCAAGATAATTTAAAGAATGATTTAGTTCGTCGAATTCAGATGTTAGAACATGCTCTTCGATCTGAAAGGTAGTAGGCATTTAATAATTAATTAATCTTGTATAAATAGAAAGATTATAATTATTAATGTTGTATGAATGGATGGGTTTTTATAGAGCCAAGTATCATAAATTAAAATATGGGACTGAAATTTCACAAACTGAAATGCAATTACCTTCAGCATCATCAAGTGTACCAGATGAATATTCTACTATACCTGATGTGAATACAGATTCTGAAACACCTTTGTCATCTATTACAAATGTTAGTTGGAAACAAGGCAGACAACTTTTAAGAGAGTAAATATCTATACATTAATTTAGTATACTATGATACAATCATTAATTTTCTATTAACTTTCAGATACCTTCATGAAATTGGTTATACGGATACAATTATTGATGTTCGATCATCACGCGTGAGAAATTTATTGGGTTTAAATAATAACAATAACAATTTTAGTGGTGGAGAGCAAGGTCAAAGTGATAACAATCAGATTAATGGTAATAACTATAATAAACGTTTCAGTGACAATCAAGGACAATGTTCACCTACAAAACGAGTTAGTTAAATTATTAAATATCTTTAAAATTAAATTTTTTATATATAATATATATTAAAAATGTAATTGAAATTATCAATTATAAAAACGTGTGGCACTCGGGGACTGCTGCGGTAAAGCTATTGCATAGCATTTTTATCAACTTATGCAATTATAATATTTATGCAATATTTTTTATCTTTGATATTAATTCAAGTTACGCTTTTTGAGCCTGGTGACCGATAAGAAAACAAATTTTTTTTTTTTTAGCACTTTCAGTTCTTCTTCTCTATAAAACAAAAATAGCTAGGTATAAATAATAAATATAAATAATTAGGTATAAATAGTGTGATTACCAGTGTTTGTAAAATTCCTTTTATAAAGTAATGCAGTCCAATTCAAATTCCACAACTAAAAAAAGTAATGCATTCCCATTCACAATTCCTTAAAAAAAAAAAAAGAATGCATTCACATTCATCAAAAATTTTGAATGCATTTCGTGCACATTCCATTTTTTTTTTTATAATCAGAATTAAGCCTCAGAAAGAATTTTTGACAAAAATATATCATCAACTAGTTTTTGAAAGGGGTTAGTTAGGATAAAAATAATTTTTCAACTTTGAACAAATAACTCAAATTTAATTCTATTTCATGAGTCTTAAGTTTGGTTTGGTAATATTTTCAAAAGTTTAAAACAGAAGAATTTACTTTCATATTTGTCATTAAAATTAAAAAGTATATATATAATCATTTAATAGTACTTTGTACTTTTGTTTAAAAATGTAGTTATTTTGTTAAAAGTTTTGCCTATATTACTTTTTACTGAAATAAGCTCTACATCCTGGTAAATTTTTAAAATTCTAATAAAATTATTATTTGTAAAAACATATTTTTAGTAGATTTTAATTTTAAAACATTGTATAGTTTGAGATATAATTTTTTTATTACTTCTAAACTTATATATTTGTTCATGAATATGTAGATTTGATTCATGTTTACTATGAAACCCCATACATACCAAAAAATAATAAACATATTTCTTTTTCATATAAAATTTCATAAAAATACTAATTGCTTCTATTTTTTATTAAGTTTTAAAAGTACATTTGTGTATATATGGCCTACAAATATTTTAAATTTGTTTTTAAAATGATAAAATTATTTTGCTAGTTATATTTAAATTTTAAAAAAGAGATATTAGGGAGAAAATTAATCAAAATGCATGTAGTCAGTGTTATTAGTTTTAATTTATTATTAAAATATGTCTACACGCATACGTCTAGTCGCACGCATACAAAAACTGTGCCAAAGTCTGCTGAACTGAAGCAATGTTAGACAATGTGTTAGGTTTATTTTCTTTACGGAATTTCTTGATTCAGTCACCGCGTTCAAAGTCTGCGATAAAAGCTATGCAGTTGCTTAATAATTTGGATTTTCAAAATTATTTTAGCAGCAAAGTCAGAAAAAACTTTTAGATGCTGAATCAGCTGTTATGGCTAATTTTGAGTTTTTATCTACCATGCGCGGTGCAAATGAGTCAGGTGATGTGGATATGGATGATGATGGTGTTGATGATGAAGATGATGATGATGATGATGACGATGAAATGGGAATGACAGATGATGTGATAGATATGACTTCTATTTGTAAAGTTAGTAAGATTTATTAAGTTGATTACAAGTTATCAATGAAAAAGTGATTATTTAAATAAGATAGTTATAAATGAATTATGAATTAATTTTTTATTAATGAAAAAATATTTTTATTATGATGAAAAATGCTTTTGGTTTTTATATTACCTAAGTTAATATTATTTGTTTGTAATTCCTTAATTTATTTTGTATTTTTTACTTGATTAGTTTAAATATTTATAAAAATGATAAAATTATCTTTTAACTACAAGTTGTTACATTGTTAGTGAGAACTTTTATTAATGTAATATTTTTTATATTCAAAATTAATCCTACTCATTTAGTTGTTGTAATTAAAGAAAAGTTTAACTATATCATATTTTTATAATTTATAAAAATAGTTATTAATGTGTTTTCTAATTTTATTTATAATTCATTAACACTCTTGATTTTATGGTATTTCAAATCATTTTTGTATTTAGTTTGGCCCTGATGATGTTGATGCTGAGGCTGAAGAAGTTGTTAATGAACTACAGTTATTAACAGAAGACATGAGTAACAAAGAAAATGATCAGAATGATTGGAGTAAGATTAATACCATGATAATTAATTAAATTATGAATAATTAATAAAAAAATATTAAAAAATCTAGAAATGTCAAATACGGATGTATTTAATAGAAATACAGGAAATGCTAATTGGAGAAAAAATAAACCTACGGAAATGGTTGATGGTAATATGGATCTATCTTTAGGCTTAGGCGAACTAGCACAACTTACTGTCAATAATGAATCTGAAATTAATGTTGATGTAAGTATAATTATGATATTATATTACTGAATAATTTAATTTTTTTTTTATATTTTAAACTGAACAACTAGGTTGTTGATATGAAATCCGCTTCACGTAAAACATGGAATGCTAAATATACTTTACGAAGTCATTTTGATGGAGTTCGTGCATTAGCTTTTCATCCAACAGAATCTATATTAATTACAGCTAGTGAAGATCATACCATGAAACTGTGGAATTTACAAAAAACTGTTGCTCCTAAAAAGTAAATACAATTTTTTATTTTCATTATTGTTGTACTATACCTTCAGATTAAACTTTTACAGATCTGCTTCACTAGATGTAGAACCTTTGTATACCTTCCGAAGCCATACAGGTCCTGTTTTTTGTTTAGCTGTTAGTAAAAATGGTGACTATTGTTACAGTGGGGGGTTAGATAATGTGATCAAAGTATGGTCTATGCCTTCAGCTAATATTGATCCATATGATTCATATGGTAAGTTAAAAAAATGTTTTTAAAACCTAATATTTTTAATATCTTTTTTTTCAGATAAGAACATTCTTGTGAATAACTTAGAAGGTCATGAAGATGCTGTTTGGGGACTTTCTGTTCATCATAAGCGCTCAGAAATATTATCTTGTTCAAGTGATGGAACAGTAAAACTTTGGTCACCAACTAATCTAAAAACACCATGTTTATCTTCTTATGTTTCCGATCAAGGTTTGTATAATGTATAATAGTAATAAATATAATATTAAAATTTTATTGTTTTACTTGATTCTCTTAATTCTACTCATTAATTGTTGAGCTATAATAATACCTTAAGTCTTAAGATTTTGTGAATAAATAAATAGTAATATAATCTCCTGTTATAAATTAAACTAATTATAAAAATTATTAACATATAATTTAAAATTTAAAAGTGTATGTGAAATGCATTTTGATATTGTATGTGTTATTAAATTAGATGAAACTCCTACTTCTGTTGATTATGTGAGAGATGTAGAAGGACAATTTGTTGCATCTTATACCTCATCTCACTGTGTTATATTTGACATTGAAACAAAAAGTCCTATCACTCGATTAGAATGCTCAAAAGTAAGTTTCATTGAAACAGTTTTTTTTTTTATAAAAAATATTTTTTTTATTAGGATCCTGCTGAAATGGCTACTCAGTTGATTCATAGGGTGAAATGCCATCCAACACTGCCTTTAACTATAACAGCTCATGATGACCACCACATTCGATTTTTTGATAATAATAGTGGAAAAATGGTTCATTCAATGGTTGCACATTTAGATGCTGTTACCAGTTTAGCTGTTGATCCTAATGGATTATATCTTTTGTCAGGAAGTATGAAAATAAAATTTAGATTTTTATTGGTGTTATCTTTATTTATAATATTAATATTTAATAGGTCATGATTCATCTATAAGAATATGGAATTTAGAAAGTAAAACTTGTGTTCAAGAAATAACAGCACATCGAAAAAAACTTGATGAATCAATATTAGATGTTGCATTTCATCCATCAGAAGCATACATTGCAAGTGCTGGAGCAGATAGCCTAGTCAAAGTATTTGTATAGGTACAGTAAGTTAATTATAATTTAAAAGGCACTTCATTAACTTGTTAGTGTCAATATTTGACCAACTTTCGATCAAATTCATCATCTTAGTGATTTTGCAGTAATCATGATTTATTGATTTGAATTATAAATTATTATTATTATTATTATAATTATACATATATATTTTTTGGAATGTACTATTTTTTTTTGTCTGAAACTAAAATACAAGAAAACAATTTTGTCCATAATGATTATATTTCTGTGATTTTAATTTTTAGTAAAAAAAAATAATAGTTAGGGATATTCTATTTATTAACTATTATGTTTGTATGTCATAAAAATTATTGTCCAATTTATGATATTAATTTATATTTATTTCTATCCCAATAATAACTAAAATAATATTTAAGAGCATTTTGTTATTGTATTTTGCTTTTGCTGTTGTACAATTCTTACAGTGAATTTTGTTCATTTTAAGTTTTCTCTTTGGGCTAATAATAAACTAAATTACTAATTTTCTCTGACTTAACTGATTCATGTTTTCCAAGAATTAAATTAACTGTGTAAGTATTGAGTATTTTGTTGAATACAATACTTATGTATAGTGTAAATTTTAATTAAAAACAAAATTGTGTAAATTATATTTGTTGGCAGATAATCATAATAATTTATCAAAAGTTTCACTTTATTTTAAATTTCTAACTAAAAAAAATTGAATCTCGTTATTTGAACATTTCAGCTACACTTAATATTGGGTTTTTAACATGTGTTAAGTGTCAGGAAATACTTTGAATTTTATTATTTCAAAAACTTTGAAAAGTTATTATAAATTTAAACTATTTTAACTACTTGTTTGGATTGTTCTAGTCATGTATATTTTGTATTCTTATTCATTATGCCATTTTAAAAATGTAATAACTAAACACTAAATAATTATTTGTAGAACATTCAATTTTCTCAAAAAAATTGCATTTAATCAACAAATAATGTGCAACAGTTATATTAATGTTATATTTAATTAAACAGTATATAATTGAATAATTTTTTATATATATATATATATATATATACATGATAAAAAAAAAAATGAAATAATAGCTGTTGATAAATATAGTTTCTTCAGTTTATGTGAAATTAAATGCAGTAGAAATGTTTTACGTCTAGTCTAACATAATCATAAAATTAATAAATTATTATTAAATAAAATGTTATGAAGTATTAACATTTAGAATGATGTATTTAAGTTTTAGATTATTAAATTAAACACACAACTAAATTTACTGTATAAAATTAGTAAATATTATATAAAATGATTTTATAAAAATAATTTACGTGTATAAGTATATAATGTGTACAAATATTTATACACAATTATGTGTGATACAGAATACTGCATTTTTTTTACCTATTAATGAAAACATGCAAAGATTATTAGTATTTTTAAATACCACCAAATCAATTATAATAGCTTTTTGCTGTACTACTTCTATCTAAGTGTGTTGAATTTACATGATTACTGTAGAATTTTTTGTGTATAGATGATATTACTATTAATGTTATAAAGAAAATGTAGAATAAATAATAAATAATGGTTTCAAAACTTTATCAAGTAAAAAAACCTATCATGTACCTATATTTTAATATGTACAATATTATATTGTTGTAAAAATTAATTACAATTAAATGTATTTTATTCATCATTGAATAATATTTTGAGTTTTTTATTTTAAAACAGAAATAATAAATTAGACATTTATTATAATTACAATAGTTGTAATAATATTTTCAATTTATTTGAAGAAATATCTAAGATGTATGAATATTGATCCTACTTGTCAATCCAAAGTCAATTCTACAAATTGTCAGTGTTATGTGAAAGCTTTAAGTACTCATACTTGAAAAAATTTATCTCAAAACTGAAGAGAATAAAAAATATAATTTCAATCAAATAAATTGATATTTTTTTATTTTAAACTAATTAATCTAATTATTTTCTTTTTATCCCATTATTCCGCTTAAAAAAAACTACTCTGAATATCAAATAGGTAATCATTTCACTATTGTAGCCAATAATTGATCAGTTCCCTTACATGAAAGTTATATATTGCTGTACAAAATACATTATAAGTTTTATAAATAAATTTATAAAAAATGTGCATTCTGACCAATTAATCCTTTATATATTATAACATGTATGATTTTTTGTTAAATCAAGATTAGTTCATGCATTTTTATTTATAATAAACTATAGAGTCAAGCTCTGAAAAGTCCTAATGCTTTGATCTTATCACATGCGATATCCTTCTGAATTACATTAACACTGAACCAACTAAAATTTACTATTTTACCAATCATTTTTTAATTTACATAAATAGGTATCAATTTTCCAAAATTTCTCATATAAAATAATTATAATATCATAAGCATTACTAATTTTTAATTGGATAATTTTACACCATTTAATTACCTTTGCTTATTTAATATAAAAAATGAATGACAGTTTTTATATTAATTTATTTATGAGAATATAGAAGAAATATATGATTTGTAACATAATTTATTAACTTGAAAAAAACAATACAATTCATTATTTACATTTCAAATCGCATAATATACAAAAGAGTACATTTAGTGTTCATAAAAATACAATAATTTAGAAATTACTTTGACAATTGCTTGCATACTAAGAAAATAAGTAAAGTTGGTACATATTTGCATAATTAATTAATTTTAATATGCACCATGTCAAAATATCTTAACTAGGCTTTTCAAAATACTTAAGTATATTACCAAGCAATACAGAAATTTGTTATGCATGTTTATATTATTAAATATTTTTAATTTATATATACCAAGGTGTACATAATCAAACACTAAAAATAATTGTCAACAAAATAAAAAAATGTAATCTTAATCTTTATCATCTAAGTTTTTTGCTGGTGAGTTTTCAATTAACTGGGCATCCATACATGGCCCTGCTTTAATATTAGAAGTATCAACAAAATCATGTTGAGGATTATACCAAGTAACAGACAACCTCCTATCTTGAAATAATTTTCCTTTTATCTGTGCTGTTTCAGCATCCTTTCTTGTTTCATATTTGATAACTAAGGCAGGAATTATAGTATCTGATATGTATTCTACAATATTACCAAATTGTAAAAAGTGAGTCACGACTTGATCCTCATCATCAGCTTCATAACCAGATACTAGTAGCTGAGTTGGTCTGTGGTCTACTGATATACTAGTAGATTTTGTTTCTCTTACTTTATTCTTGGCTTCTAATAATTTATTCGCAATTGACAGTTTTTCTTTCATTTGATGAGCAGTTTTAGCAGTTCCTGAAGAAGTAGAAATTCCTAGAGCTTTCAGTTTATTTTTTAAAATAATAACATTTTTTTTCAATTCTAATATTTCTTTTTCATCACTATTACCCTGTTGTTGTTTAATAAATAAATCAAGATCAGTTATTAATAAATTTTTCAAAGCTTCTTGTTTGGATTCTAACAATTTGTCTTCTTTAGTTGGAATTTTTGGGACAACATTTGGTATGACTTTAAAATCTTTATTAATAGGATCAGTTGATTTTTTAACAGCAGAAGCTAAGTCTGCTTGGATATTTTCAATATTATTTTTCAGCTGGTTAATCGTTGCCATTAGTATTTGTTTTTGTTCTCCTTTAACATTAGGAGCAGCTTCTAATAATTTATTTAATTGTTCAAGTTGTTTGTCCAATAATTCTTGTTTTCTTTTAGTAATAGCAGCTGAAAAGTCTTGTGCAAGCTTTTTAGCCTCCTCATGCTTTTTAATTAGTGATGACTTAATAACCTGTGCTTCGGTTTCATTAGATAATCGTGCTGGAGTTATAGTAATTCTATTGTCTAAGGATAGAGTTTTGGATTTCTGAGGTGTAATATTTTTTTCTTCTATTGGCTTTATTTCTGTGTTATCAGAAAACCAATTTGCTGTAATAGGAAGTGTGCCAAAAACAGTTTCAATATTTTGATAAGCTTTATGTGCCTCTTGAATAGTGGAGAATGTAATTGTAGCTTCTTTATTTTCACTACTTGTTTGTATATTGGTAATTTTACCAAACTTCATAAAGCTATTATTTAAACTACTAATGTTGTTTAAATTTTCTGGCACATTTTTTAGCTGTACTTCATTAGATGAAACTTTAGGACCAAGTCTTCTATAATCAAATTTTGGCTTTTTATTGTTATTTATGTTATCTTCTTTTTTGAAATTATTTTTTCGTTTGAAACGGTTGGGATTTTCACCAGTTGGTACACTAACTAACTCTCTTTTCTGGTTGGAAAATTTTTGATCACCACCACCTCGAACCCAATAAGATCCTTCAGTAGAAGGATAGTACATTCTTTGATTTTGTGTAGGTGGATAAGGTTGTACAGGTACAACATTTGGAACCATAGGGACAACAGGAAAAGAGGGATTTATTGGATTATTAAATGAGGTACCAGCATTTTGGAAACTAAGAACACCATTGGCTAACACAACAGGATCTTTACCATGATCATAGACACATAAGTCTCCTTTCATACAATATCCTTTTTCATCAAAATCAACACATCGACCTAATGTTTTTTTCTCAATTCCTTCAGTTTTTTTAAATTCAGCAAAAATATCTTCTTTAGGTTTTTTAAGACGTTCAAGAGATGCTGATCTAGAACGTGAACGATTTTTTGGAGATCTAAATCTGCGTTTAAACTTAGGAGATTTTGAACGTCTAGGTGACCATGATCTTCCATGATAACGGTATTTACGATAAGATTCTCTTTCTTCGTCTTCATCACTAGAATGATCATCACGTCGATATCTTTTAGACTTATTATATTTCAAGTCTTTACTCCTAGGTGATCTAGAACGTACAACTGACCGAGATCGTGACCTTATTTTTTCTTCTTCTTTATTTTTATCGTCGACTTTGTCACCAGTATCAGACTTTTCTCCAGATGACGTAACAGCAGTTTCAGATTTTACTTCGATTGGATCATTGAGATACGATTCATTTTGTAAAGTTTCAACAAGTAGAGAAGTAAAATTTTCTGTTTCATCGCTTAAGAACTCATCTAATTGAGACAAAAGAAACTTTTGTAATTCATCTTTAGGACGATCTCGTTTTAATAAGGCAAATATGTATTTAGCTAATGCTGCTGGTTCAGCTTCACATATAGGACCTAAGACAGCTGTTAGCCAAGTTTTGAAACGTTCTGGATCTTTTATTTGCATAGTTCAAAAATTGAATGAATGACAATGAACTGAAAAATAAATATTAACATTTAGTAAAATTGTCAGTAATATTAGAATAAATTTAAAAATAAGAATAATATTATTAATTAATCAACACTACATTAACAAACTTACTTATCATAAAATATAGGATGAAATTGTTGAGAAGCTATTTTAACTTAATGACACCAAATAGCAACTTTAATTCTAAGTACTAAATTTATGAATATAACTGTAAAATCAATATTATTTAATATTTTTTTCATTCAGCCGTATAATAAAAAGCAGAGTAATAACAGAACCACCAATAAATTATGTCAATTGTCAACGTATGGGGTCTACACTGACTGATAACACAAAAAATCTCACAATCTAGTTACACTGTAAAAATAAGAGGGTTAAGAAAATGTTTATAAAGTTAATTTTATATCCAAAAATAATTAAATAACAATACTAGAGTTTTTAACAAATAATATATATTTAATCACTATTTTAAAAGTAAAATAATTGACTAAAATTATAAATATAAATTTCATCAGCATGTATTTGTTATTATTATGTTGGCTGCACGCTATGAAAATTTGGTCGATTTTCTGAAAGAGTATCCAATACTGCAATCTATGACCGCGCTGGCGCAGTTCAAATAATTATTCCCCATCACGGATATAAATTATATTTTTAGGTTTGCTTGATGTTGTTCGTTGTATACACTACCGTCTAGCATAACTTGGCAGAAATGCCGTAATTAAATAACATTTGTAAACATTATTTTATTATATCTGTAAGTATAAATTTTATTCAAGTTTTATTTAATACGAATTATTGATTAAAAATAATTGATTTGAATTTTATCCAACTGTTTAATGATATTATTATCGATTAAGCTTTATTAGTTACTAAACAGTTTTATAATACATTTTTTTTACTATTTACGCTTATAAATAAATTGTAATAGTGTAGTATACTAAAGAGCTTAGTGAGCTAAAATTTGAAGCTCGGAGATGATATTACAAAAATAATAGAAGTTGAATTAATATTTGCCAAACAAGTTGAGTTAGATTTTTTAATAATTAAGTCATAAAAAAAGAATTTTAAAATTGTCAACTTTTAAATCAAAGAATATCCTTTTTTAAATTTTCGCCTGTTTTGTTCTATTTGTTTAAAGTTATATGGATAATTTTGTTAATAATAGTTATTTCATCCTATCAACAATTTCTTATTTAGAACAATATTCAATTGTGAGAGTACATAGAACGAAACTTTTATGATGTAGGATATTTTTTTTATGACTCCTGAATATAATGTACGTAAGGGCTATATTTAGTAATTCTTAGAGCAAGTTCAATTTATTGCATTGATATATCCAAAAATATTATTTTAATATTTTATTAAAATTAAGCTTGTATAAAAATTTTATTATTTCCTATTTACTTTTGGAAAACTTAAGAATCGTTGCTTTATCTTTATTTTAAAAATAATATTTACTACATTATATTATATTACCCATATTAGGCTCAACTAAACTAAATTTTTACTCTAATAATTACTCATAGATAAACTTAGGGACGAAATATCAATATATTTTTGTATGAATATAAACCGAGGAGGTCATTTTTCGATAAATTGTCCATTGTTAATGATATATGAAATAAAATCAATGAAAGGATTATGTATTATTATTATTTAGTGTACATGTACTCTTAATAAAGAATATAAGAATTTTCTCACTCATTTATAGATCGTGAGATAGTGATAGATAGTGAGAACATACGTACATCATTTACACATGATGTACGTATGAGAAATATCTAATACTCCATTAATAATAATTGGTTACTAACACAAAAATTTAGCATTTTAATGTCAAACTTATCTACTTGCATCTAAAATTAACGACCATTTATTTGGGATGTTATTTTGATTTTAAAATATAGACTGGATGTAAGGCGCATGTATAACAATATTTATTATTAGACATTTCGAAACTCTCCTCCCCTAGGTTTAAAAACGTTAATAACATTGGGAGTTCTGGTCCAAAAGCTGTTTTATCTATTTAAATAAATTAAGTTGAAACCCTTATAAAAAATAAGAGAAGAATTAAAAAAAGTAATTAATGACTGAAAATTCAATGAATATATAAAACCAAAAAATACCCAGAATAAGTTTTTTTACATAGTTATTATTTTAAAAGAAATCAAGTAGCGTCAAAATATATAATATTTTAACGTTAGCTATTCGATTATATTTATTGTTTTCATTCAATCAAATTTTTATCAAAGCAGTATTTTAGTTTTGATGCGAAGCTGAAAAGATATTAATTTTATTATGATGTTTTATTTTTGTGTCTGTTACCACTCAATCTCAGCTCTCACTGGACCGATTTTTATGAACAATACGTCAAAAGATCACAAATTGTATCTAGTCGAAGACATAACCCTCAAAAATTGAAAAAAAATTACCACGTTCCACGTAAATGGGGGAAATCCCCCAAAAAATTACAATTTTAAAAATCGATATTTTTTGATATTTTTAAAAAATTTTTTTTTTTAAAAATGAACAAATTTATATAATTTTTATTTTTTAGATACCTTAGGTATTTCATTATCATTTGATATATTTTTGTGAATATTTGACCCTTTTCTTGCCCATAGGAAGAGTTTCAATATGGCAACTTTTTCATAAAAAATTAATTTTTTCAACTAAACTTTTGAAATTGTTAAAGAAATATTTACACTTTTATATATATCTTAAATTAAAGCTTATGTAATATAGTTTAATTTGACCTCTGGATTTGTCTTCATAGTGAAAATGACTATCGTATTCAAAAATATGCTATTTTTGTATTACGATTCTGGGTTTTGTATTTTATTTTATTTTAAAATACCTGAAAAGGGGAGTACACTGATTTTCATAAATATTATATAAATCAAATTGATATAGCATAGAAAGTTAAACTTATTTAGATTTTATTGCTTAATTTAAGCTGAAAAAAATATCTTAGAAATTTGAAGTAGCTTTTTATAATATCATGTGCGCGATTTACAGTTGCAGAGTCTGATATACTGGCGTCTATCATCCGTGAGGTACGAGGTTCCAATCCGCTTGTGACAACGAATTTTTTGCATTTTTTCTTAATTATTTTTAAGTTAGATAACATTTTCTACTCATTTGACTTTTATCTCATTTAGGTTCAATAACTACAATAAAGATCAAGGATTTCCATCACTGTAGCCACCCATCGTGAGAAGAAATTTCTTATTCATATTAAAATCATTTTACTATATGATTTTAGCTTCGATGCGAAGCTGAGGAGGTATTTTTTTCTGACTATCATATATTTTCTCTGCTCTCACTTGACCTACTTTTTTTATATGTAAATACTCATTTTTTACTATTTAGTAATAATATCAAAAAATAGAAGTGATAGAAAATGTCTAATTTCAGATTTGAAAACATCGCAAAAATTTGGTTTAGAAAAGTATACTTTTGCTTCTGATGAAAGTTCCTTGTATACCAATAATTTTATTTCTAAATAACAAACAATTTTTTTTTTAAATATTGCATTAATTTTTATACATATTTGCCATAAAAGTAATATCTACTTAATAGTTTTTTATAATTTCTCCATAAAAATTACAATATTAAATTATTGAATATCAATTTCATACTAAATTTAATTACTATAATTAGTATTTATTCATATATTATATTTTAGCTTCGATGCGAAGCTGAGCAGGTATTAGTTTTACTATAATGTGTCTTTTTTTAAATTTTTTTATTTGTGTCTGTTACCACTTTTTCTCAGCTCTTATCGAACCGATTTCTTTCAACGATACGTCAAAAGATCACAAATAGTATATAATCGAAGACATTACCCTCAAAAATTGAAAAAATTTCCCTCGTTCCCCGTAAATGGGAGAAATCTCCAAAAAAATTACAAATTTAAAAATCGTTCATTTTCTTTTTAAAACTGCCATAACTTTTTCAAAATTGAACAAATCAATATAATTTTTATTAATAGATGCATAATTTCCTTACCTATCATTTTTTTTTATAAATTTGACCCTTTACCTGCCCACAGGGGGGATTCAGAATGACAACTTTCTCACAAAAAATTAACTTTTTCAACTTAACTTTTTGAAAGTGTTCTGAAAATACTGACACTTATATATATCTTAAATTAAAGCTTATGTAATATACTTTATTATGGAAAAAAATTTCGCACTTTATTTTGTCTTCATGGTGAAAACAGACATCAAAGTTAATAAAAAAAATACGATTTTTGTAAAAAAATTCTTTTTTTATATTCTTAACTTTATAATGCTATAACTTTTTGAAAAATGTATGGATCATTATATTTTTTTTGAGATAAATACTATATATATTTATATCTTATTAATATATATTTATTTATTTATTCAAACATTACACTTATAAATCATAAAACTTGTAATTATGTTATAAGTAAGGAAATAGAAATTGCTTTTAGAATCACTATCAACAGATTTGCATCGAAGCGTTTCTTATGATAGTGATTTTAATTACTCTGATATCATCTATACTTGTCCATCTATGCTTCGTTCATACTGTGCCTCGACCCTACTATGCTATCCTTTTTTTCTTAATTAATATTTTTTTTTAAATAAAAATTATTTAAAATTGTTGAATAAATAAAAACTAATATAATCGAACGTAATTATTTTTATGAGTGAAGACATTACTGGTACAATACAAATACTATATACACAGTAACTTAATGATCGGAAGTATATAATATTATATAAATTATATCTATAATAATTTGGTATAATCAAATATAGTTTTGAATTATTTATTAAATGCTTTTTTAAAAATGCTTTTTTATTTATTAAATGATTTTTAAATAAATCAATTTTTCAGGGAAAATTGTAATAGAAACACTAATATGGCATCGGAAATCAGTCAGGGTAAAACAATTTGCGTCTTAGCAGTTGTAGCTGGATGTTTTGCAGTATTATGGCCATCATTGTTTTATCCAATGTTGAAAGGCTCTTTTGGACCACAGCATCAAACAGGTAAATCACCTTATTTAGTTTATGATAATTTATAATATATTCTTCAATTGGTAAACTTAAAATGTTTACATTGTTGGAGTTTGGAATATAGGATGTTGTGATGTAGTATCAAGTTCAGATATGAATCTAGTAAAAATAATAACTGATATATGTGACCAATCTATTGGAAAAGTGGATAAAAAGAGATATTGGGAAATGTGTCGACGTGAAATATACAATACTTGTGCTATCAACGTAACAGATTTGGTTAGTGGTAACCAAGTTGGTGTGATTGATTCGTCAAATAAACATGTAGTTGATAAAATACGATCCTTGAATGGATCATTGTGTTTAAAATATCATTATGGAGTTTCATTGACAAGTTTGGGGGTTGAACATAGGTTAAAAGAGTATAATCCAAAAATTAGTAAGAAACTTTATTTTAATACGGCTTTAATTAACTGCAGATTTGATTAATATAATAATTATTAAACATTTTCTGTTAATTATTATGTTTTAATTAATATAATTTAATTAATTATAATTGGAACACTTAATAGTATAAAGGACTTTATATTTTTGAAACATACTAATACGTATTTTGAACTAACAAAATAACTCGATTTTATGAATTAGTTAATTTATATAATACTTTGATGCAATTAAAATTTAGATAATTAACGTTTGGCTATCAAAAAAAAAAAAGTAATAATATACGTAAAATAAAATGTAATAAATTTATAACGAGAACCTTAATGATTAATATTTCCAAAAATTTATAATACGATCGTATTATCTCTTTTGTTTTGCAAGATCGTTGAAAATAATTTTCGTTGTAAATAATGCAATAATTTTCATTATAGTTATACAATTATATTATGAGATATATTACCTTATGATAAACTATATACTAGGGGGATAAATAAAGTATACTATTTATCCCCTTTCATACCACTCAAAAGTAGCAGATTTACTTTTGAAATTATGGATTAAAAAAATTGTCGAAAACTCGGGTATTCATAAGAATGATGCTAATCTCATGCTGTATCTTATTTTCGTTACTTTTTATATTACTCTTTAAATCTAGAGTTTATGGGTAATTTTCGAATAACTATTGGTAAAGATTGAAACATTTTACCTATTTTAATTTGATGAAAATTGTATTTTTGAATGGTTTATTTGAAAATATTATTACTATAATATTGCACCATAAGAATATAAATATTTTATATAAAGTAAAAATGATTTTGAAAAAAACGAGATAAAAAAATTAAGTATTGACATTTGAGTTATTGATGTTCTACACTAATATGAAATGTAAACTTTAAAAGTATATATTTTTGATTATTTTACAAAATTAACTGGTGTTGCTTAATAATCTTCACTTTATAAGAAAGAATATATGCATTTGACTATTATTAGGTTCATGCCTATTTTGTGATACGCAGTATACTTATGATATTTTTACTAACCATTTAGTTCACTATAATTTTTAAGTATTGAAAAATTATTTCACTTTTAATTTAATTAAGGCAATATTCCACAAGAAAGAATTCCGGTGCACCTCAAAGCAACAAAAGGAACTATGCATCCAGCTCTATTAGAAAAAGGAAGAGCAATCCCTCAACCACACATCGGACCACGACATTCTGGTCCACCCACACCACATAGTTTCAAGGTAATTTCAATGTCGTAGTCAGTGTTTTGATAAAATGTAAATTTTGTATTATTCATTTGCAACATTTATAGAATTATATACAAAACTCGCCAATTTTCGACACTATTTTAGTAATGGCTTGTTGCCATATGCTTTCTTTATTTGATATTTACACTTTATGATTTCCTATAGTTAGGTAAAGGTAAATTTCATTTTGTACTATTTCGTTTTTACAGAATCAATACTGGAAATGGTATAAAACATAATTATTTTTCTGGTTTTTACTCCATAATTTATCATAACTTAGCTTAGATTTGAAACTGAGAAGTAATTATTTTTACTATTATGTTTTGTTTTGTGTTTGTCTGTTATCACTTATTTTCAGCTCTTTATAGACTAATTTTGAAAACAATACGTCAAACTGTATCTAGTTAGAGACATTTTCCTCAAAAATAAAAAATGTTCTCCGTAAATGAAAAAAGTCCCCAACATTTTTTTAAGTCGATAATATTCGACATTTTTTTAAGTCGATAATATTCGACATTTTTTTAAATTTTTTATTTAAAATTAATATGAAACTTAAAAAAAAGGTTATCAATACCAATTTTTTTTCATAGATACTTTAGATATTTTTCTATTACTTGGAGTATATTTTTTGAAAATCTGATAATTTATTTTTCCACAAGAGGGATTCAAAATAGCAATATTTGTCCAACTTAACTTTTGAAAATGTTCCGGTAATACTGACATCTTTATATGTATTTTGAATTTAAGCGTATGTAATATCTTTTAAATAAAAAAAAACATTGACCTCGAGACTTGTCTTATTAATTTTTATGGCTATCGTATGAAAAAATGTTATTTTTATTAAATAGTATGTTAAAATTCTGGATTTTTTTTTTAACTTTATATTGCTACAACTTTTTGAAAAATTTAGGGATCAACACAATTTTTTTTTTATAAATACTTTTTATACACCCTTTTTATTCAACATAATGTAAAAAATTGTAATATATTTTATTTTGAAAAAAAAAATTGACATTTGGACTTGTCTTTGAGTTGTAAACGGACTTCAAAGTTTCAAAAAACACTACAATTTTTATGTAAAAATTGCAAAATTCAAATTTTAAAAAATATTTTTCCCGACACTTTTTCTTCTACATGCAAACGGCTGCTGTATTTAAAATAACGCTATTTTTGTGTTAAAATTTTTGATTTTCGATTTTAAATTTTCTACTTAAAAATGCTATAACTTTTCGAAAAATGTAATTATCAGCACAAACTTTTTTTTTCTAAATACTTTTTAAGTACATCTCTTATTTGACATACTTTTTATTAAAATTGGACAATTTCACCATATATAGAGGGCGTTCAATACTTGAAATATTGTATAAAAATTAGAACTTTTTCAACTTAACTTTTGAAAGTGTTCCGGAAATACTGCATCCTTTAAACATATATCAAATTAAAGCTTATTTTATGTACTATAAAATGAAAAATAAAAATTTGTCCCGTCGACCTATCTTCTATGCGCAAATGGCTACTGTATTCAAAAATATGCTATTTTTCTATTAAAATTCTAGGTTTTGTATTTTATTTTATTTTAAAATATCTTATTTGGAGAATTTATTGACTTTCATGAATATTATATAATTTAAAAATACGTCAAAAGATCATAAATCGTATCTAGTTGAAAACATTTTTTAGCTTCGATGCGAAGCGGAGAAGGTATTAATTTTACTATGATGTGTTTTTTTTTTTTTTTTTTTTTTTT